AAATGTAATATTGCGCCTCTTTTATCATTTTGTTTTAATCTTTATTATTCAGGAACTCGTATATTTTTCGAGTTTTTGAATTTTACGGCTCTAGCTTTAATCTTAAAATAACGACTTTTCCAAGAAAACTGACACGACGTTCACCATTTTTTAAAACCTTGTACTATCTAAAATGTCAAAAAGACAGAATGTGTATATTTTTTTAAACGTATCCTGCCAGTGTGACTCAGGTGTCTTCTTTGATATTTACAGCCATATTATTTGCTTAATAATATATACTCGTAGTGTACTTATTTAAATTTTATTGTAATATAAAAGTTTCATTTACGAATGTAATTAAATAATATAAATTTAAAGTATTTTATCCTTTGATTATATGCACTCCATTTAGGATGCATTGATTTTTAATGGCTTTTACGGTGGTACATATATTTTTGTTTCATATTTTAGGTACTTAAATGTCGTCTGCTGATTTTGCCATGTAACTGTAATTTACCATCTTTGTCATTAATAATGATCATATTACCCCGAAAAAATTTGTATTTCAATGTGTCGCAGTTTTACGGAAAGCGGTCGTGAACAAAAAGATCTAAATAAAACTCAATAAAAAAATAACTAAGTAAAATGCAAAGAGATATTCTTCAATTATAAATCACAAAGTAATAGATAAAATTTGTCATAACAATCTATAAATTAATAAAAGAAATGGAAAGAGAGTAAATTATTGATAACAAGACATTTTATGGAAATTTATGAAATGAAAAATATTTTGAACGGAATTCTTCGCTGTTGTCATGTAAAATTGGCCTTTTGTTTTACGTTAACTATATGTATAATCTTATGCCAAATGGGTGAATATTTTGTTTCTTGAAAGAATCGCATTCTCCTCCAACTTCTGAAGGATTCGTACGTATTCTGCTTATCCCAGAAAAAGTGAAAGAAAATTTTTAAAGTGTTTTTTTTTTCTCTCAAAATCCATTATAAATACATGCGTAATTAAAAAAAATAATGTTTTGTCTTTTACAGTATGCTGAAGTGAGTCTTTTATAATGTTGGTTCTGTAAATTTTTAAAAAATAATATGTTGTGCATTGTAAAAGTGGGAACTTTTCTGAGGGTCGCTTTAAACGGCATATCAGTTTTTCAAATTTGTTGCTACCAAATATTATCCCCCTGTATTATTTTTAAAGAAATTAAATAATGAAGAATCTGCATGTATGTATGTATATTCCTCGCACTGTGAAACGGTAGCTAGAATCTTCAAATTTTGAATAGCGTAGCTTTGTACCGAAAGACTTGCATCTGGAAGTCCGAATTTTGAATTTCGAATTTGTTTACCATGTTTCATTTCGTATTTTGCAAACGTTTTAATGAATTTTTGATGAAAATTCAACGAAAGCGAGCAGGAGAAACACTGTTCCAAATAAAATATCCTTATCTTAGAATCCTTATCCTTAGAAATTATAAAATTTCAATAGTTTCAACCTAATGCCTTTGTAAAATTTGCTGGCTCAGAGAATCTGAATTAGAATTATTTAAATATAAAATAAATAATTTTCATATCAGATAATAAAAAATCTGATACGAAAAACACAGATGGAAAATGTTGTGAAAGTAAAAGTGAAATTATTAAGAATCGTTTGTAGAAATTTAAATAAAATGCATTTAATTGTAACTTTAGGGAAAACAAAATCTTTATAGTGTGATACTACTTTATAGCACTGTTTTTAGCGAAAATTGACGAAATTTGAATGAAAACTATCTGTTTTGTAATAGTTCTTTATGTGCAAACCTCAATCCGATATACTATTTATTTATTATATATATATTTTTTTAATTTTGAGGGATTTTTTACTTCCTTGTACGAAGTAAACAGGAAGTATTGTAATCGCGAAAAGTTTCAGGCAGCATATTTCAACGAAAATATCCATTTTGACCGCTATCGAATGCAATTTAACGATGTTTTTGCGTGATATCTGTACGTAAGGACAGAATAAAATACTCTTTTCCTCCAAAAAAATTATAAAACTGCTTTAAAATGAATTCTGAAGAGAATTTTTCGTGGCATCTGTACGAACGTATGTAACTCGCATAACTCCAAAAACGAGTAGCTTCAGAACATTGAATTTTTGCTTTAAAAATGATTGAATTATGTTGTTTTTATCTTCCGGTTAACGTTTTTATGCCTTTAGTAAATCTGTATGTAATATGTTTAGAATTATCAACAATTTTAAAGTTGTTTAATTGTCACTAAGCCTAATAATTTTTTTGATGGCGGCCATTGATTGTTTACATATGAAACAGCAGACTAGTGGATTTTTTGCCAATCTAGAGAAACTTAGCTCCCCAACAACAAAGATAACGCCTTCATTTAATATTTCCCAAATTAAATCATGCTTAATCCTTTCTGGAATTTTTTCGAGGAAATAAGTGTTTAAGATTTACTTCGTAATTTTTAATACAGATATTTTGAGTTTTTATGTATTTTTGCCTTCTCGCGAAGTGAGAACTGAATTAATTGAATGAGAAATACTCAATCGTCTGTGAAAAACTGTTCCTTTTTTGTTTTGTTTGCTTAATTTCTTTTATACATCATTCTAGCTTTTTTATAATATTTGAATAGAACATGTGGCAACGATTAGATAATTCTTTAAATGATATAAATTTTGTACATTCTGAGTTATAATATGAACGAAATATAATACTATTAAGTGAACCTAGCGCCAGAGTGTCGCTATGGTAAACAAATAGAGTGAATGTTAAAGAATACATTTATTCTATTGTGTTTTATGCGTTGTCAGCGAAGTAGATTTAATTCAATTCAATATGTTTAAATGAAATGGAAGAAAAAATGCGTATAATTTAATATTCCGTACAAGGAAGTCATGTGGTGTACACATCAGATTTTTTGGAAAATGTCTTGGGTATATTTACAAATTATTACAAATTCTGCTGGGCCTATTGACGAAATTTAACTTGTCTTGTGAATTTTTAATGTCCCGAAAGCGCAACTTGAGGTATATATTAGATTAATATATAGCATTCTTCTAAGATAGGTATTCTGACACAAAAAAGGACTTTTTATGAAATGATATAGGCATGTCTTTTTCCCATATTCCGATTCCATGACTCAGTTTACTCGTATGCCAGATTGCCATGCTTTGTAAAACTCGTACGACTAATTCTTAAAAAATTAAATGTCAAAATTTTAGCTGCTCAGTGTTAATTGAATTTGGAATATATTTATTAATACTTTTTTTTTTATTAAATTTACTCGATTCCTTTTTTCACAATTCGAAATTTAGATTCCGTCCAAATAAAATTCTCAGCTATTTTCTTATTTGTTTTTAAAATTTGTATTTTTCAGTAATTTTTATAAATTTTTTAAAAGGTCTTTTTAATTATAACTTATAAAATTTTTGTCGTCGTCAAAAAGTAACTATATTTCTGAGCATATTTGCAAAAAATTAGAGCTTTTGTTCAAAATTTCTTAAGATATAGGTGAATTTATATATCGGCGCGTTTTGAAATTTGACATGCTTGTTATGAGCTATAGCAACACCAAATGTGGTTTACGCATTTTGTTAAAATTATTTGAAAGAATGAAAGATGCACCTTTTTTTCCGCTCGTGCCCTGCGAAAGGGAAAAGAAGATAGGTTGCCGTGAATTAAGAACTTTATCATTCTTGGCTGAAACTGGAAAAAAGTACACTAAGGTAAATTTTTGAATTTCTCTGTAAATTTCTCAGCATATTTTACAAATATAATATTAAGGCAATATTTGAAACTTAGAATCAAAATATTGAAAAAAAAAAAAAAAGTTTGTTATTTCAGGTAAAGTCCGAATTTGTTTCAAAATATCTATCTTAGAACAATGCTATGGTCCGCTTTCAAGACATGGAAAACGCAAGTTGAATTTCGTGAATCAATCCAGTAGAACGGGAAATATAGAACTTTCCTCTCCTTTTTTGTTTGTGCAGATTGTGCCATATTAACAATAACTTTATAAACCCAATATATACATAATGAAATAACCCTATAAATGCGGCAATAGACTACATATTGAAATAGAGTATAACTGAAAATAAATTCGGCATGTTACTTACTTCTGAAGTAATAATATTGATAGTTAAAGTTAGTATTTCAAATACGTTTTTAAAGGGATGAAAAAGACGAAATAGATTTTATATATTTAGACAGGAAGTGATGAAGTGCTGTCTTGTTTTTTGCCCGTGTAAAAGCGTCAGTGATGTAACTGCATGAAATTTTATGATGCTGAAAATTAAGAACGATGACTAAAGATGCGTGATGCTTGCAACCCGCATTTTTTTAAAAATTTCTCGCCCTTGAATATAACTCTAGAATCGATTGTTTTAGGTCATAACATAAAACGAAAGTGGCCACCCGCCCGTATATCATTGGAGTGCGGTAGCTGTGCTGACAAGTACAATATTAATTGAGTAGCCTTACTCTAATAACGTAAGATATATCATGTGTCATACCGGTATTGTGTTTATTTTATGAGAAACATTGGGTAAGGTATGTTGTTGTTAAATTACTCTTATTTGGGCTCCTTTTTTCATGTTAGTAATCTTTAGTCTTTTATTTTACACTGCATATAAGTTTCTGATTGCTATATTAGTGTTTTATTCATTTTAAAGCAGCTTCTTCAATGTTTATGTATTATTTTTAAACGTGTGTCTAGATCGGCTTTGAATTCATTCCTTATAAGCTTACGGTAGAACTTCACTTTTTGTATGTAATGAATATATTGTTATGGAACATTTCAATGTTTCTGACTATCTTAATAGTTCTCCTTTTTGTGCTGTTTTACATAGCACTTCAGAATATATACATAAGTTCTAAAGCATATTTGTTATGTGATCAGTAATTAGCATTTTAGGAGTTACTATTAATTTTTTTTCTGTTTTGGCTTTCAATAACTTTTGAACTTTTCATGTAATATGTAAAATGACAGAAATTTTTCTCTCTTTTCTTTAGATCACTGATGCAGTGAGTTCAACTTTGTGATGTCTTCGCCATGGCTAAAGTTATGGACCAACCTTTGTCGGAAGAGGCGAGCAGCGACAACGAGGAGATTAACAAACTTTTCCCAAGGTGCCGACCTCGTAGCGTTGTTTCCAGCAGCGATTTCAACCAGAACAATGTCAATGTCAACAATAATCTCAAGGACCATAGAAAGCTGTCGACAGCAAGCAGCGACAGTACTATGAGCAGCAGCATTATGGACAAAGCGAATGACAACTATCTGCCCCACAATAACCAGGATCACCAAGACACCCTGGGCCGCCCTGCCTCCGATATGAGCGAAACGTCTTCCTGCTGTGGAGGGGAGCAGCAGCAGCAGCCTCTACCGCCTCCCCCTGCAGCCGAAGTCACTGAAGACCATTCGGTGATAAGCGCCTACGATTACTGTGATTATGACAGTGGCTTGTTGTGCAATGCCAGTACTTCCAACAAGGAAGAAGCTCGCAGCAATTCTACTTCTTCCATGACTTGTGACCGACGTGATTTCAGTGAAGATGTAGTTTACGATCCTGAACTGGATGTCGGGTACCACATGGACGCTGGGTTTTGCCTTCGAGAGAGCCGTATTGAGATTGCTGGGGGTCGCGAGATATTCTCGAAGAGTCGGAGCAAGCCTTCGAAGAAACGACATAGTGAGGAAGTGACGTACCATCGCCAGAGGGTTTCCGCTGACCATAGTCAAACTAGCTGCAATAACTCCTCTAAATCTCAAGATTTCAAACGATTCAGCGCAGATGTTATGTACGATGACAAACTGCGACGATATATGTATAATATGTGTTCAGGTTCTATAGACAAGCTGCATACATGTGCAAAATATCGAACTGAATCATCATTTATTGTGGAGGAGAAAAGCCCTGAACATATGCCTCGATTAAACGGTCGAATGTGCCTAAGGAAAAGTTCTTCTGTTCGTGGACTGCAGGATCTTCCTATAGATTCTAAGCAACATTCTGGGCATTTAGTGTATGAAGCCCCAGTGAGTAATGCTGAAATTGTGTATGATGACATCGGCGAACTGATCGACCAGAGGAAAGTCGAAAATGGTGCACCTGGTAGTTCTTACGGTGGAAATAACACGAGCAACGGCTTGCGTGTGAAAACGACTAGTTGCGATTCAGAATACTCTACGTATCCTGGGGAAATTTTGGAATCCCCTAATAGTGATACTGAGCAGTCTTTCCGTATCATGCACAAACTGCATATTGGTGCTCTAGACGTTAGTTCTCCAATTTCGCCTTCTTGTGGTGGACTCTGGGGTGTCGATGGGTTAGTTCAAGAACATGTTGGCAGTCTGCCGAATTTGAGTCAGGAAGAGGAAATGGATACTGACTCTGAACCTGCTTCTCCTGTTAAACAAGGAATTGCGCGTCTAATAGGCAACGTTCCTATAGCAGAGTACGAAGGCTCTCCTCGCCGTTACGGCCCACGGCCGGGATATCCTCATCGTGTTTCTTCGGACTGTAGTACAGTGGAACAGAATGGGGATGAGAAAAGTCATCCTTCAACATGTGAAGAACTATTAAAAGTAATAGCTGGAAATAAGCCTATAGCAAATGATGTACGAAAGAATGCGCAATGCAAAAATTCTGACGATTCTGTTGAGTGTAGCAACCACGATTCGGACGTCAAAAGCATTTTAAAAGAATTTTCTTCTTCGAATCATTGTAAAAATGATAGTAGAGACTCTTCTAAGGGTATAGCCAATGCTCAGGACTCTGATTTCAGCGAGTTAGAATATAGACTTTATAGGGTTAACACTGGTAGTTCCTACGTTGGTCGTCGTCTCGCCCAGTCTTCGGGAGGCGATAACCAAGACAGCCCTAAACGCAACGATGTGGTCAAATTAGTCAACGGCGATCTGCCGCACGTCTGTAAAACTACCATGGCCACGAGCGATTGCTTATCCCCATCGCGCGATAGCGTTCCTCCTCCTCCCTCTGCAGATGATGATGCGGTTAATTCTTCTGCAGGAACAGCAAGTGCAGTTTTTTTGCCTAATGAGCAAGAACTGATGTTGCTGCACGAAAGTGTGCATCAGCATACGTTACAAGTCGAAATGGTGGATCAAGACTTGGAATCTATTAGCACTTATCCGGGAACAGAAGATCTCGGAGAAACTGAAGTAGGTGAACAAGTGGACCACACTCGGAACTTTACTTTGTCCCCAGAAACTACTGACTGTGATAGTAATGATGTAGAGAGTGTCGTCTCTTTGGAGGGCAGTATGAACTCTGGAGGTAGACTTATGAGTAGTATGCCCGTTCTAGAAGATGGTTTATCCAGTGGCCACAGCAGTGAGCCAGACACCAGCGAGGATGAGGGCTCAGATGGCGTGTGGTCTGAAAACAGGAAACGGTCTTCCGAGGAATTTGACAATCCGACGTTGGCCTTGATCAACAAACAGATCAGCAAAATAGAACAAGATTTCTGTAAACGACCACCGTCAAATAATATTGTGCCTCCAGAAAAAATGAACCATCAAGACGTTGCTGAGTACCTATGGAGGCATTCTTGCAATTCCCAGCACCTTGCACTTCAGGATGTTGATCTCAGCTATTTCGATGTGCTCAGTAAGTAGTCCTTCTCTCTGTCTGCTTTTTAATTATTCCTTTCAATAGCATATTGTTCTTACCATATGTAATAAAAAATACACGTTTAAATTTACTTATGTTCAATTTGAAGTTAATATATTACAATTCAGTTGAGTTTGCATTTGTGAAAAAATTTGTATATTGAATGTTGAACTTTAATTTATATTAAGCTTACGTTATAGAATAATGTTGTGTCAATTAGAGTTAAGTGTTTTATAATTTAAAACCTAACCGTCTGTATCGTTTTTAAATGAAATATTTTAAACATATTTAAATTAAGAATTTTTGATGCCCTAGTTTAAAGTTATATTTTGTAGTGCTGAGAAGTGCAAGTATCTTAAATGAGTAAATATCGATGCTTATTCATTTATCTGGTTGTCTGATGAAATGGATTCGAGGTATCTTTGCCCGCATGCAGGTCAAGTCATCGTCGATGTGTCACTCATGCATTGTTGTAATTCCGTTGTATTATCAGTTGCGTTGGAAATTAGCGATTACATTTAGTGAATCATATGACACGAATCCAAATTAATATCCCGCATATGTCAAGACTTGTTGTCAAATTGACGCACCTGGACGTAATATGTATTGGTATTGAGATCTGTTTATCAATACGTTCCTTTCGAATGTAGCGGGAAGCGTTTGTTAAATTTTTGGTTAAAAATTAATTTACTTTGTCTGTTAAAAGTTTCACCGATCCTTCCATCTTCTTCTTTCCATTATGTTTTAGAATGGGTCACGTATTATTTATTTATCTTGAGTTTTCTCATTCTATTTACCTCGAGTTCATATTTATGGATTAAATCATTTATCTTGAGCTTTTTTCAAGTACATTTTGCTAATATATAGTAAACGAAAAACTGTTTATTTTAAAATAGAAAACGTTGTATCGAATGCTGGTTGCTCATCGTACTGTGTTCTGAATGTGAAACAAAAACTCAAATGACACGGTTTCTTATATAATGAAGCATAATTGATTTTCGAGCGAACTGTTATTTCTGTAAAGTGTTATGTAATCTTTTTAATTAATTACAAACAAGTTGTACGAAACTAAATTTGTTGCTGTTTATTATTTTTAGCATAGAAATACATTCTTTTATAAATCTAAATTAACTGATAATATCTTAATTTATCTACTTAAACTATTTATAGAATTGTGGCATATTTTATATTTTAAGCATAATCAAAGTACAAATTAAGTCAGCATGGGTTTTATTCTGATGTATGTTGGTTAGAAAACTGTGGACTGCTTACACTTAACAAATGTAAGCAAAGTATGCCAGCTTTATAATTAGGTAGAATTCAGTAATTTATAATACTTCTTTTAGTAAGATATCTTTTTCGACTTTGGACCATCTTTAAATGATGGGCATCTGGTGCGACGTACGATGAAAAATTAAAGTTGCACTGATATAAAAAATTCCTTGGACGGTATTTTTCCTTAGCTGAATATCATGCATTATATATAATTATTTCTCTCTTTAAGACTCAGTGGAAAGAAAGCATATTTTATGCTTCAGATTTTGTGTTTGTTTCTTGTAATTACAAGAGAAACGAAAATTCCTGAGGTAAATTTTCCTCTCCATTGACTGATATTGTGATTTAGCCAGTCTTTGGACCTGTTTTCAAACTTCGCGACAATTTAAAACAGAAATTGCGCGGTGCTACCGGAAACTATTGAGATTGTCTCAGAATTGGCAGAAAATTTGTAGTAGTCTGAAATTACTAGCGTGGGATAAAGGAAGACCAATAAAATTTCCATGCAAGTTGGGAAAAACCAGCAAGAATAAATTTTAAATTGATTTCATTTAAAGGAAATTGTATGACGGGGTTATTTAAAATACTGAATCATAGTTTCAAATTGTTTATTTTTCATTCTATTATTTTCATGTTTTTATTTTAAAGCTTTAGATTTTAAGGCTAATTTCTGCGGTTCCAAAGTCTGACTTTACCAGCATCAGACCTTAGATGTTGATTTTTTGAAGTGTTTATCCTATACGCTTGCTTGTCCAATAGAATAATGTAGTTTTAAATATAAAAATACCTTTAAAAATTGCCAGTGTTTTCTAATTTTTCGAAAACAATTAGGATGTGTTTATTTTCTTCAAACTTATCTCCTTTTGGACAACGAAATATTTTTACCTTTTGAGAATCCTCTAAAATGATTTCTCGCAGTTGAAATGATGTTTTCCGAATTGCTGTGCTTTTTGTTGCTTCTCCTGAGAATTTGGTGATAAGGAAAAACGGGTGCAAGAGCTTTCGGATTCCGCTTACAGGGGCACCTTGGTCAAAGTTTAATGGAATTTGGGCAAATAGCTCTCCCATGCTTTGCCTAAATTAAATAACCCAGTTCAATCTCTCCCCCCTTTTTTTTTTGTTTGTTTTGTTTTGTGTGTGTGTGTGTGTGTGTGTGTTTCCAAGAAAGAAGTAAGGAAAAACTGGCTGAAAATAAGTTGGAAGAATGAAATATTCTAAAGTTTTCATTTCATCTTTGCCTGACATTATTTAACCATGCTGTTCCCAAATTCAGTCAGTGTTATATGCAAACATGTATAATAATAGTCATCAATGTCAGCAACACGATAGCATGTAAAAGACCAAGTTTTTCTTTAGAACGTTCTTCTATAGCTACGTTTTTCTGATTTTGTATATTTACGAGATGAGTTCAAATCATTTTCAACGTTTTCTACCCATCTCAGCATATGCAGATTTTCTTATTTTTAACATATGCTTTAAAGACCTGGATGCAGCTAAACAACAATCAGGCTTTAGTGGTAGTATTCTTTATATTTATATATATATATATTTGGTGTAATTAAACTGTAGGATAATTGCAGAGAAAATAATAGTAAACTCTATAGGATTTACACTGGCTTCCAAAAGCTATGAATGCAATACAAATTAGCAATTTTTGAAAGCTTACTTGGATCTGGGTGGCTGGAAATCGTTGCAGATATAAATGTCAGTGTGCAGATATCGTATGCTACAGCGAATCACGGAGGATTGCTCTAGTGTATGCTATTCTGGCACTCACAGAGGACGCAATTTTTATGAAAAGTTTGAAGGAGGTTCATTCAAAAGCGTGTACGAGGTATTTATAACTTAATAGTACAATAGTTTTTGATGGTATTCTTGTTTCTGTGGCTGAAAGAAGATCAATGGTAGTTAGTGAACACTAGCTTGCTGTCTAACGCATTGAAGCAGGACAACCAATCAAAGATACCGCTCTTTTCTTTGGCGATGATCATTCGGTAATTTTTAGAATGTGGAGACAATTCCAAACAAGTCAAACAGTTGTCCAGAGACCTGTGCCCAAGGGTTATCACCCCTTTTGAAGATCGTTATAGCGGAATCGACGAGCGACCCCCGTAACTCTTACATCCATGGTAAGACAATTTGTGCTAGTATTGTGCGCCGAAGGCTTCATATAAAAGGCGTGCCAAGCTTTGTGTATTCCACTAACCATCAAATCCAGCCACGCAAGATTAAAGTGATGTCGTCAACCCTCAATTAGATTTCTAATTCGCGCAACGTCCTGTTCACGGGCGAGTCCATATTGGCTCTGGAATCAGCTTCGAAGAATCTGGAGAGAACGAGTTACACGGAATTAGGCCCAGAGCATAATCTAACATTACGCGTTCAAAGGAGCAGCATCATGATGTGAGCTGCATTTTCAATGGCATATCGTATCCACTTGCTCATCTTTAAGGACGATTCTTTGATGACTGCGTGGTATCAGATGAAGCCATGAATCCCTTTGTGAGATTCTACTCTGCAGCAGCTGATCCTCATTTCCTCCTTATGAATGGTAATGTCCATATATATTGAATCAGCATCGTTAACGAGTAACTGAGTGAACGCATTTATCGTAGGGAGTGGCTGCCCTGTTGCCCTGACCTTACTCCCATTGGAAAGTCTTTGGGGTACCCTCAGTCATGCAGTCTCTGAACATTTATTTCAACCAGACGTCGGAATCTGCCCTGATGGAGGAATGCCCATTTGTGATGATTGGTCACCTCACTGAGAATACGGGCAGTCATCGTAAAGTTTGTCTGAATGTTGGCGTGGCAACATGCCGTATTGATTTAAGCTTTGTTTGCTTCTAGCTTTAACCCTTTCCGGCACGCTACCTTTTAAAGTTGGAGTATCGATTTTTTTTTTTTTTTTTTTTTTTTTAAGATAGGCAGTCTAATTAGGCCTAGAGGAGTACACAAGTAAAATTTTGTGAAGATAGCATTTATCGTTTAATTCTGTGAGTGTGCCCAAAGTGGGCTCACTGATTGAATAGAGCTTCGAAAAGAGTGCTGAAACGAGCATTGTTGTCAATGAAGAAACCGATGAGATGCGGAAAAACAAAGAATACAGATTCTCAGTTGTCCTAGATGATCGGTGAGACGGCCTGGGCACACCTAGGGTTCGCCGTTTGATTTTAGGCAAGATTTCAAGGTAAACATTTAAAACTAATATAGCATAAGGAGATTAGCATACACCAAAAAAAATAACATAAAAATTTCTTTTCAAACAATTCCTTTTTTACACTAAAAAAAATCTGGAAGATTTCTTTGAAAAATAAGGGTCTTAAAATCTAAACATGGCTAAAATATATGGACTGGTTTGTGTTGAGCTGCCATCTACTATAAATAAAGAAGGTTCAGAGTAACCTATAAATCCTTTTTCATTCAATTTTTCTGTGCTTACAGAAGGAAATTTTTAGGTGTGTCCAGACCGGACACACTGTGCCGCAGAGGTTTAAACATCTATTTGTTAATTTCCTAAATGTGACGTTATTGTGTAATTTACGAAATTTAAATACTTTCATACATGAAAACATTTGCTACCTTCATACGCAATTTAGTTTTAATCAAAGCTTTGCTTTTTTTATCTTTGTGGATTTTACCGTCGCGTGCTTAACTTTTGGAATCCAGTGTATAAGCAAGTGAAATTTTTCAATATTTTAAGTGCAACAGAGTAAGATTTGC